CTTGTATCCGGGACCTCGTTCTTTCGGTCATGACCCAAAGCTCATGACCATAGATGAGGGTAGGAACGTAGATCGACCGGTAAATCGAGAGCTTCGCTCTCTGACTCAGCTCTCTCTTCACCACGACGGACCGGTACAGCGCCCGCTTTACAGCAGACGCTGCGCCAATCCGCCTGTCGATCTCCCGCTCCGTTCTTCCCCCATTCGTGAACAAGCTCATATCTCTCCCAAGTTGGCCTTTTTCACACTGGCTTCCTGTGAATTACGTTCAACTCCTACTTATCACATAAAAGCCCTTAACCCTACGTTAGGCATCTCATTATTCCTTATAAAAGTCCTGTCTCTCAGAGCATAGGTTTTCCTGTTGTTCCCAGGATTTCTAAGTTCCATGTTGTCTTCTGTTGAAGCATCATCAATGTGTTTGAGTCTCATAGGTTTTCATGCGTTTTTGTCTTACTTTAAAAATGCTCCGTTTTTAGAAAGACGTGTGGTCTTGAAGCTTTCATCACAGTTTAAATAGTAAATGGTCCCAATGTGCTCTACGATACATCTTGGGTTTTAAAAAAAACCCAGCAAGCGCTTCATTCACCCGCTTCCAAAAGCYGCTGTGGTCAGAGCGGTTGTGTGATTTAACAAGTGAGAGTCTGTGGCTGAACAAAAGTGTGTGTGTGTGTTTGTTTTGTGCCTGCTGTTCTTCTTGCCAGCTATAGCTGACCACTTGTTGGCGGGGGCAGACGCACAACAGGCTCCTGGGACACAGCCATCTCTACACACACACTTGGCACACGCTTGTCTGTTCATCCTGATGCTCTGACAGCATCACTTGAGATGCTCCAAGAAGATGTTTCAATGCATTTTTTTCCTCCTGTCTTCGTCCGGCTCACACATGCAGACACATATTTAGTGGYCTTTAAATCGAGCGTCCCCAGCCGTGTGCGTCACGGTTCGTCTCGTGGTTGAGGTCGTCTCCCCGCGAACCTGTCTGCAAGAGTGCAGAACTCCTTCAAAAAAGAGAGGGCTTCCTTTGATTTACCTCCAGCACTAATGCAGAAAATGAATCTGCATCACCAGACTGTACCCAGAGTCGGGCTGGAACGCTCTCCAAAAACATCCTGTCCTGTCTCGTCCTGTAAATCACACCTTAATGGAATGGATGATTTATTCATCTGGGTTGTTTTTGTAATTTCCTGAGATGGAAAAAGTCCCTTTTTTCTATTCCTTTGATGTATAAATGAAGCTTTATCTTAAAAAAAGTGATTTTCATGAGGGAGCCTGCTTTTCTTTTTATTGCCAAATTCAACAGTTGTTCTAATTGTATTTCCACAGATGAGTCAAGCAGTTTTGATCTTTTTAATAATGGCAATTTACGTTATGTAAGGCTCTTTGTTGTTTTATTCTGGAACAAATATGATTTTTTAAGCTGAAAGAAATATCAGTTTTTGCATGGTTTCCATGACACTTATCAGACAAGCTGTAACATGAGAATATCTAAAACACAACAAAATGTAATTCCCTTATCGCACCACAGCATAAAATTTATATTTATTTATTTTTTCTGTTTGTTTGGTTTCCCACCAAACACAATATAATTTGAGTCTTTCCCATAATCTACGCACATCCAAGAAAAATAACCCTGTCTGACATTGCAGCAGTGTAATTATGGATCCAAACAGACTTTATGGTTGCAGCGTTCTTCTGAACATCTCAGGCGCAGCAGAAGTTTGGTTTTCTAACCAAACATGATTACATTCCAAATAAGTCCACCATCTTTAGAAACAAATGAGCCGTCGCTCTGCTCTGATTCACGTTTACAGTGGAGTAGTTGGAGTGTTTTTTCCTGGTGTATGTTTAAGAGAAAACAAGATGCAGAGTTGGACACAACATGGAGATTAGGCAACTTTGCTAATTAACCTTCTTTTTAGACCTGAGGAGAAAACCTGCTGATGGTCAAAGCAAAGACCAGAAAGCTAAAAGTAAAAAAAAGTTTCCTTAATTTAGAAATTTGGACTTTTATAATGTAGAAGTTTTGGTTATTTTCAAAAGCTCAATCAGAAGTGCAATTGGCCTCAGGCTATTAGTGGTTCCCATGCTTTTTCCACTCTTTGGTTGCAATACAATTAACTACAACCTCTTTTAAATAACAAAAGAACAACAAATTATATTTTTGGTGCAACTATTTTAGGTGTGACTGTTTTTTTCTGTGACAGTATTCAACATCAGTAATTCATTCGTCAAAAAATGCCTTTCTGGACAAATCAATCCATCAACTTTATCTGTACCTACCTTTGATCACAATGAAAATGGAAAATGTGTTTAAAAACATGAATAAGTCCCTGAGAGGAAAAAAAAACATTTTTGAATAAAAATGACACCTTTGATCTTCACTTCTTTGAATTTCTGTGGAAGCCCCATCAAATACATTTTCAGTATGGTAGCAGTGTCCAAACTTGAATCCAGGGCTATTCAACTGGCGGCCCGTGGGCCGGTGACTTCCATCTGGCCCACCAATGAAGCCCAGCTCCCGCCACACCAAAAAAGAATGATTAAAAAAATTAATTCAATATAAAAATAGATTGTAAATAAATTGTAAATGTCAAATTAGCAACAAAATAAATACATTTAAAAGGTAAAATATAAAAACACTCGTTCTTTAACATAATTCCCCTGAGCTGCTGGTTTGGATCAGCTGTGGTCCCCTGAGCAGTTTCGTTGGATAGCCCTTCATTACTCTTTGTCATTCAGTCAAACTATAAGGATGAAAATAAGCTTATGTGTTTAGCCTATTTGCCAAATTACTCTTCCTCACTATGAACAGTTCTGATAATGGCTCCACAGTTGTTACAGTTTCTGCAGAGCCGAGCCCAAAATGTGTTAACAGCATTTCATGGCAGCTGTTTTACAGCCCCGTCTTCTTTTTTTTCTCCGAGCCACATGTTTGCCTGATGGTGCAAGCAGAAACATCTTAAACCGAAGCCCTTACAGCGCGTCACCTGGAAAACATAAATATCTGCATTAAAGTCKTTGTCAATCCGTTCTGTAGCCATTCAAACGAGTCTGGTCCCGGCAGCTTATCACAGGCTGCAACGCTCCGCTGGTTTGGCTAAAGCCGAAACGTCAACACTTCATCGCAGAGTAACTCTTGGAATGTGTTGCAGATTTACGTGCAGCGATGCAGACGGAGCGTCAGAGGGTGGAGCCTTCTTCTGGGCTGATGGTGATTAGATGATGGAGGACATAGATGTGTGTCATCTTGTCGTTTCCTCACACGGTGGAGCCCATGATTGCCCACAGTCTGGTGAATGTTTGCATCTTATTCACAAAGGGAACCTCGCTGCTCTCAGTCACAACAAACAACCCACCGTTGGGGCCATTATACCGTTGGCGTTATTTTTTTTTTTTGTGCATTTTGTTTGATGAAGTTGGCAAAATGTGCTTTAGATTGAACTGTTGATTGCTGTTTGTTGATGAGGTTAAACATGTTGAAATGAAGTATTGAGAAACTACGCCCCACATTGGGCTTGATCTGGATGGTTGTGGACACACAGATGTGGCACGAGCACTCACCATGTCTTATTTCAGAGAAACAGAAACCCCAAGAAGTGACTGATAATAGCAGTCTGGTTGCAGCGGTCTGAGGTGACGCTTCAGGCAGACCAGAGCTGTTTAGGTCCTTTTTTTTAAGTTATTTATGAGCGCCAGTTGTTCCTCGATCTGGGCATCCCTGCTATGACCACAGTGTGGGTGGGTCCCATTTGTGGGACTGACAGCTGACATTCCACACTTCTTATGAGCCATATACCATGAGGGAAGTTAGATTTAGAAGAAATGTGAGGTTTCTCTATAAAGAAAAAAGACTTCTCTGCATTTTGGATTACAGCTAAAAGAGTCAAACTGCTGCAAAGCCATAAACATCGATGGTTTAGCGGTGAATTGTGTGTTTCTAGGACACACATGACCACAAAGTCCAAAACATATAGAAGATAACATGAAAAGTTTGTGGATGACAAACATATCTTATAGGGGTTGATAAAAAAAATGTTAATCCTGTTTTTGATGCTCAAATCCCAACTGGTTCTTCTCGATGTGGAGGAGCAGCAGTCTGTCCCAGATAGCTGAACTTCTCAGCCTAGATTTGCCCAGACTGACGTGTCAAAAACATGCAAATCTTTATGTGATGTCTTTTCATTTGCAACACAACAAAAGATGACATTGAACTTGTGGTACGTCTTTTCATTCTCTTTATAATAACTCTTTTTTTCTGGGATCAAACCCATTATGGCCCACTTCCGGCCTGATTTATGGAACCCGTAAACCCRCAGTTCTATTCAAGCCGAGCTGGGCCTTACAATGCAATACAGATTTTTTGTTACGACCCAAAGTCTGTGGTCATACGTAARGGTAGGAACTTAGCCCAACAGGTATACAGCAGCCGGTTCAGATGTTATCAGTCCATTAAATGGATGTTATTAGCAGGTTATCAGTCCCATAGAATGGATTCAGACTGTCCCGACCATGCCCTGTAGTGGGTTACCAGTGCCATATACGTTGGAATGTAACAATCTGCTACCGCAGGAGTCCGGTCTACTTGATTGTAGCTGTGGTAGAAATAATACTTTATGTTTAAGCAAGTAATTCATGACATCCTTTAATGACCTAGATTTTCATGACATGYTGTTCATCTGCAGACAGAATGATTAAAGTCAGAACAAGGTCTGCTAACAACAATAATCATTCTTAGATATCACTTGTGTTTATCTTTGTGTTTTCCATTGACCTTGTATCAAATCTTGCTAAGACGACAGAATGCTGTTTGTTAATATGAGGCCTCTCGAGACAACAGAGTACAACAGAGACAGTGAGCAGTGTGGAGAGACTGACAGAGAGGCACAGAGACAGGCAACGTTCTCTGTGTTTCCTGTTGTTGCAATTAAACTCAGCTGATCATCCCATGGAGTACCTTCATTCTTGACCAACGTATTTCTCTCTGTTGTTAGATAAATATTACCATAACAGTAGCCCATGTCATTTTCTCTAAAATTAACCTTAGTGACTTTATGCCTCATACTAACCAGTTGACAGTCTGAAGCCATTCTATGGGACTGATAACGGCTAATAACCTCCATTTAATAGATGATAGCATCCGAAGCGGGTGTAAACAGAGAGATTCACCCTACAGCTCTGCGCTCTCTCTTCAGCACAACAGGCCGGTACAGAGTCCGATTTGTCTGTTGGTCTCACACTTCATCCGTCCCTCACTTCTGAACAAAACCCCAATAACTCCTCCACTTGAGGCAGAACCTCACTCCCAGCCCAGAGAGGGAGGTCCACCCTTTACCAACTGAGGACCGTGGACTCAGATTTAGAGGTGCTGATCCTCAGCAAACCGTTCTAGCGAGAGCTGAAGATCAGGTCACGATGACGCCAACAGAACCACATCATCTGCAAATAAAAGAGCTGAAATCCTGTGGTCAGCGAACCGGACCCCCTCCGCCCCCTGGGTGCACAGAGAAATGCTGTTTGCAACAGAAGGGGTCCGACTTATTGCCGGCAATGAAAACCAAACTCTCCCATTGTCCCATCTGTTTTGTGTTTTTTTCTTTTAAGACAATGAAATTTTCTGAAGCATCTAAGAATCTTGAAGAACAGTTTTTATGAATTCATATGAGCTGTTTTTGTTTGTTGGTTGGTTTTATATAAAAAGAAACCTCCTCAGCCAAACTTTGTGAAGACTGGTCAGACTGGTTGGGTCTGAGGGAATGAAAAACACAAACTATTGGCTTGTGTTAGTTTTTGTTTAGCTGTGAATAAAACTGAACAGGACATGGATGAAGACGGGATACATCTAAGTTTACTTTTGATTTGTTTTCCTTTGCTGCTCTGCTGAGCTTTTTATGAGCTAACTAAAGAAACAATAAGTTATGGAGGCCAACAGCACAAGTGGAAAAATGTTTTATGAGAATTTTGAGGATTTTTCTCTGTGAGTGAACAATGTGATTTAAGGAGGGATTCCTTTTCAAATCTGACCTCAGGTTGGATGTATATTGTTTTTGTGGTTTTTGGCTTTGCTCTGGCCTCTCTTGTGCTGCCAGATAGAGATTTACTGCTCCTGGTGCCAGAATAGAAAAAGAAAAAAAAAACAGAAATAAAAAAGGAAAAGCGAAAATTTTAAAAAGGAGCAAAAAGCACCAGGAATGTTTTCTGGTACCCACAATTGAAACACATTTTCTTTGTCTCTTGTTGCAGAATGTCTGAACTGCACCAGCTTTAATGACATGAGCAGCAGAATAAACGCCCTCGAATCGAAGGTAAACCATTTGAATAATCTGGAATAATCTGTCTGCACAAACCGCCTGACACCTGCTCCTMTTTGTCTCAGATCAAACAGCTAGAGAAGGGGCGCTCGTCGGTGCCGGGGGTCCACAAAGTACCGGAGGGCTCGACAGAAAACGAGGTGGACACACCTCAGCCCACTCCGCCTCCGTACCTGCCTCCAGGTGTCGACAGATTACAGATTATTTATTAAAAACTTAACGGAAATGTGAAAATGTTATTAAGGTTTTATTTTTCTGCTTTATTCCGTTTTTAAACTTACATCCAGTTTTTATTGGAGAAGTAACTATTCAGATTCTAGACAACGTATAAAAACTTGGATTGGGATTATTTTTTGATTGATCTGATTGAAAGTTTTTGTTTACATTGTTGTTAAGTTAGGATTAATAGCACCTTCTTGTTATGTTGGTTTTGATAATCTGATGGCTCTCGTTTTGTCTTAATCTATATTGTAAGTCACAACAGAGTTCCTTGAGGGCTCTCGTTGTTTTACGAAATAATAAAAAATGAATAATAACATTTGATTCTGACGGGCTTATCCTGCAGCAGCAGGACCCAGGGGCCTCCCAGGACCTATCGGACCTCCAGGGCTTCCAGGTCCTCCTGGGAGAGCGGGCTTTCCAGGACCTGTCGGTAAAAAAAAAAAAAAAAGACAACAAATCTTCTTCCAACCTGAATATTGTCATCATATCAGTCTTTCTTCTTTGTTTACATGTCTTGACTAATTTTGTTTGTTTCTTATTACCCTCAAGGACTGAAAGGGGACAGAGGTTTACCGGGAGAGATCGGCCTTCCTGGTCTTCCCGGTCCTCCTGGTCCACCGAGTCCTTCTGTGGCGGATTCTTCTCCTGTCCGGATCCGAGGTGACGTTTTTCATCTGGGCCATCAAGGTGAGCTGTACGGTCCTGAAGAGACCTAAAGAAACGCTTAATGAAACCTTTTTGAGTTCGGTTATAAAAACCCTTCATGTTCCAGATGGTCWGAACCAAAACCAGAACCACAGGTCCAGCTCATCCTGAGACTATGTCCTTCATATTAGGGCGACTGTGGCAGAGTGGTTAGGGGAGTCGTCCTGGAATCGGAGGGTCGCCGGTTCGATCCCCCATCCAGCCGTTTCAGTCGTTGAGTCCTTGTGCAAGACACATCACCCACCTTGCCTGCTGATGGTGGTCAGAGGGTCCGGTGGCGCCGGTGCATGGCATGCCCCACCTCTGTCAGTGTGCCCCAGGGCAGCTGTGGCTACAGTGTAGTTTGCCATCATCAGTGTGTGAATGGGTGAATGTCTGTTAGTGTAAAGCACTTGATAAAGTGCTCTATAAGTTCAGTCCATTTACCATATAACTCCTGCATGACGCTTTTTTACTACAACTTTATTTCTTCCTGCAGGACTGATAGACTGAAACATGTCACAGCTGTTAGTGATTATTATTAAAGGTGTTATAAAGAGTGTCTGTCTGCTGAACGCAGCTGGCAGAGATTTACTGGAATCATTCCTGCATGTTTTGTTGCTACTGAGGCGTCGTGTGCAGCAACTTCARTAAATACCAACAACAACAAAGCCAGACAGAGTGTCTGAGTGAGAGTCTGTCAGCAATATATCTTATGAACCACTGGACTGATTGTAATGAAACACTGAATTCACTGAATTCACATCTACAATGGATTAAGGTTTGGAGTCAGTCCAGTTCAAGATGGCTGCCACGGATAGTCATTATCAACCAACATAAAAAGAACTGTAACTCAGTCATTTTTTACAGGTTTTGAGACACATTTTGGTGTGTTAGTAGCTTAGGATCATCCACAAAACATATTTCAAGCCCCATCACATTGGACCAGATCATGACATGCAAGTTGTTAAGTGATACAGTTTTATTGTGACATATATTGTTGCATCGTTTAATAATTAAAGATCTGTTGGTGCTCGGCTTGTGTGTTGGGGATGATTCTTAGTTATGAATAAATTAAATTTTAGCTCAGTATCTCAGTAAATATTTGTGTATTTGGTAAGGTAGATTAGCCATGTCAGCCAGCWTGATCTGGGTTGAGTTCAAAAGTTAATCAGTCGTAGATGTGCACACAGTGATTATTTTCTGAGGGAATTCGTTAAAATCAGCCCACTGGTTCGTGAGATATTTCGCTRACAGACTGAAGACAGACAGGCCTGGTGCTCTAGAAYAGCGTTTCCCAAAGTTAGKGTCGGGACCCAAAGTGGGGTCCCGAAACATCAAGGTGGGTTCCTGAAAAGATTTTCTGAATTAATTACATTTTTGCCTTAGTTGTTACAAAGTGTTA